TTTAAAAGCAGGATCGAAATCAATCCTCACTACTGCACTCTTACCTGGATTCAATTACAACTTATCCTAATTCACAGTGAAGGGTTGTTGACACTTTAAGTCAAAGTTAACAGGTAGTGGACAAGCACAAGTGATCTCAAGATTCTTCGAAATAGGCATAAATGGAACATTCTTCTCCCACGAATACTTAAAGAAAAGTTTCCTCTCTGAGAATTGCAAGGTGGGTTGTATGAAATCACCTTCAATTGTTGTAGCAAATAGTAGATTTGCTTTTCTTTCAGAGCCTATTGTTGAATTTAACATAAAAATTTCAGAAATCTTTCCCTTCTTCTATGAGTACCCTCTGAATTAGAACATGATTCCATGCTTGGGAGGTAAAACTATTGTATCAGGGGCAATTGAGAACACTGATTCTTCTTCTGGGGGAGGAGGAGCCTTGTTATTCTTCTGATCCTGTTCTTCCTTCTTCTATTGTGGTTTCTTTTGAGTCCATTGTAATTTTTATTATTTCCTGCCTTTATTCTCAACAAAGATCTCCTTTGTTACTTTCCTGTGAGTATAATTGACACCCATATTCACAGAGGATAAATCATCCTTACAAAATATTGTTGATCCAATCCCTTTTGCTTTTAATTGCACCTCTACATCGTCACCTTCCTTGATAACAAAATGAAGGACATCAGAAACCTTCACAGCATCATCAGCACTACAAAGCACTTCAATTTCGCAACTCTCCTTTGGTTTTATGATTCCATGTTTTTGAATGGGTTTAAATATTGAGACTTTATTCTTTGTGAAGGCATGGAAATCAGCCTCAATATCACTATCATTGGTCAATGTTAATTTCAAGGAATAATCCTTTAAGACTTCTACATTTCCAAAATCCAATTCTGTTTTAGAGGTTTTCACTTTTGGCCCTTCTGAAAATGCTACAATTGTTATCACATGAGGCTGTCCATTATTGGTACCTACTATATTTATTTGCAATGGCAGTGTAATATCATATAATTTCTTTGTAGTCAAAGTCACTTCCAAAGACATAGTTGAATTACCATTGATCTTGCCACTGGATGGCTCCACTGTATAATCTGCTAATACTTTATACTCATCATTTTGAGGTAGAACAACGAATTTGGCTGGTAATTCAGAAGTATTGATTAAATCCACTCTTGATTTACATGGATTCCTTAAGAAGACTTTTTAATCATCTCCTTTGTTGAAGTTCAATCGATCACTTGGTCTCAATTCCACTCTTGGAGCTTAACAGTCAGCAGTAATTGGTATCGACAACATATCTTGTCCGACACCTTCTATGTCTACAACCATAACTTATTCATAAGTCTTAATTTATTTTGGAATGAAGGTCACTTTAATTACATCGAAATTCTTAGGCTGGATAGTATTTCTCCTAGGTTCAATTTCAAATTCCCTTTCAGCTAATTTACCATCTCCAGGGATTTTGAGTTCATATGTAAATGCAACTGTAGACGTGTTAGTCATTTTTATAGTCTTGGTTTATTCAAATGAGTAACTGACAGTACCAAATTGAATTTTCTCATCTTAGAAATTGAATGTAGGAGCAATCACATGGCCAATAAATAGTATAGTTAATTAATCTGTAGATCCTTCTAATTTCCATCTAAAAGTCTCTTTGAATTCACCTGGGATGCTGGATTTGAAGGTAATTGTGAATGGCATTCTTTGACCAACTGCTAATACTCCTCTTTCAACATCAAATTTGAACATCTTTCCAAATGCTCTTTCATTTGGCATCAACTCAAATTTACATTCTATTTCTCCTCTGTTTTCTATGACAACCTCAGTCTTATGAATTTCATTGACAAACACATCTCCTAAATTCACTTCATACACACTTAAAAATGCCCTTGGACCCATACCTTGTCCATACAAATTCAATGGCAGTCTTTCCTCTGAGCATGAGATATTGCAATAGGCCACAGTCTAATAGAGAAATGCACTTCTAGGCACAAAGGTTACTGTAACTGTCATCTCTGAATTCGGCCAAATCTGTCCTTAAGTGGGTTCAATAGTGAATATATCATCAATGAATAGAAGCAGATCATCCTCTATAGCCTTACGAATGTTTCGATATTTCCTTGCCAATTGTAATTCAGCTTTCTTCTGTCTCTTCAAAATGATAGCTTTTTCATCCCTCTCTTCTTCCTCACTGTCTTCATCTTCTTCCAATTCCAATTCCTCATGCACGCCTTCATTTGACACTAGTTCTTTGATAAGCATTCTCTCCTCAGCCTCCTCTTCTTCCAATTGGTTTCTCAACCTGTTCTTCTTCTCCTACTCCTCCTTTTCTGTTGCAAAGGCTCTCCATTCAAAATCTACTTTCACATTCGATTTGTTGATAATCTATAATGTCTATTGTAATTGGAGACCAATAAAGGCTTCAGTCATATTGATCTGGCTTTTGGAGAGGTAAACATTGCCATTATGAGCCACTCCAATGATGGGCACATAGGCTTCCATATTATCGTACTATAGAATAGCCTTATTCTTGTAGGATCTAGCCTCTGTTGGAAAGAATCTGCAATAATAATATGGAACATGATTACTTGATGACAATTTACTCATTCTTGCCGTATTCCAAGACTCCTTCCCTCTTGTCGGCATCAAAACCCAAGGGGAGTTTCAAAAACCATTTGGTGGTCTTCTCTCCTAAATTTCTAATGATAACTGGTTTTTCGGTGGTGTATTTGACAGGACAATTACCAAAGTCAAGAGAATCGGGAAAGTCTATGGGATCCAAATATTAACATACCTATCATGGCTCTTTTGCCAACAGCGACTATTGGCACAACAAATTTCTCCCTTTCTGTCTCAACAATAACATCGTAATTATAATCTGATTTGGACTCTGGAGAAAAACGAATAATGAAGTTGGTTTCCATGCCTGGTGCGACCTAGAGGATGATAATAATAAAATAAATGCCTTGGTTCCTGTTCCTGCATCTTTTCCATTAGTACCTTGAGGCACAACTTAAAATAGACGAGAGTCTGGCTTGTATATTTTAACTCTTCTTGCTACCCGATCTTTGTTACGCAACTTGAAAATCTTCTCTTTAATTTGCAATGGCTTGTGTTCTTTCAAAGAGGAATTTGTACCTCATAGTCTGTGAATTGTATTATTGGTGGTATTGGATCAAAGAGGGGTTCGTCGATTGGGACACTACTCACTGGTTGAGAGGAGAAGTCAGCCAGATTCTAGAATTCAATGATTTTGATTTTTGGATGTGCATCTTCAAAAATCTATCCTGATAATTGCTTCTAAATCAATTAGGATGGAGTCTAGTTTATGAGAGAGGAATACAAATTCTTAAGTTTTAGCTTGTCTATTTGTCTAAGTAAGCTTCTTCTGCATCATCAGTTATTTAATTTAATAAAATATTTTTTCTTGTATCACTAAATCATTTACACCAGGGACTCCCTGACATTCTTTTTAAATAATTAATATATTTCCTAATTGGTCTTGTTCATCGTCTCCACTCCATACTTATAAAAGATCAGCACGCCTATCAACGTGATGACCGCGAAAAACAAGAAACAGTTTTACATCCCCAAATTTTTGCTTGATTAATCACACAAATGTACATGGCAATTGGAAAAACCAATAGAATGATTATCGAATAGCCCCAAAAAGTATAGTAGCAATATGAAATCAATTGCTAAGGAACAAATTCAGGCATGTAAACAGGTACGATTGGGCCAGTCGAACTAAAATTGGCAAATACAAATACGAAGATGAACACAATTAGCAGGTCATCATTCTTTAAATAAGAAAATATGAAGATCCCAAAATTGGCTACGAACATTAATGAAAGTCCTGCCAATAGAGGTTTCCTCCTACCATAATACTTTAGAGTAACCGTCCCAGCAAAACTATACAATATCCATTTAAGTACTGAAATCAAGAAGGATAAAAACTAAGCAGTCTTTTAGGATTTTGAATCATTAAAAATTTATGTTGAATATTGTACTACTGCGTTGAATCCACAAAACTAGAACACGAACATTAAGAATAATCCAAATTGGAATTATTTCTTATATTTTCTGATCGTCTCTCCCAATTTAACTTGTTTATTCTATGTTTATGATTATTCCCGTATGTTTTCTAATAATTCTTAATAGTTGGAACTTTGATATATCTTTTTCAATACTGCCAGTGCTTTGTCATCCTAATTGTTCTGTATGTAAAAGATTGGAGTCTAGAAATTGTATATGGTTTTCATCACAATGATCCTTATCAAACTCGGAATTCCACCAACGAAAAAGTACACTCTCCAAAAATATTGATTCAATTGATCAGGGGATGTAATATCGTCCGTTGTTGGAAACCATACCCCATAGAGCATCGTCAAAAAGTACCCAAATGAAAATACTGTTGATAGTATGCCACCCATTGATGAGTACATAGGTGTCGGTGAAAATTGTCTAATAAACACAGGCTAACAAACTGCGCACATCCCACACCCTATTCCCGCTATTATTCTCCCAATGAAAAATGTGTAGATATCTGAAAAAATCAACAATGAACTCCCCACAAACAAGCAGACGTCTGCCATCAGGATTCCTGTATGATATTTCTTGATGAATGTTGTTAAGATTGCTCCAAAGAAGGCTCCAACATATGCAGAGCTAGTTAGAGCTCCCGCAAAAAAACTTTAGTCATCCTTACTTATCTCAAAAACTATATATAAAGTTTTTAGGGCATTGTTCATAGAATTTGAAACAAATGCATATGAAATAGACCCTATATTAAATGATAAACATGCAATTACTACCCACGTTTTATTTATTTACATTATTCTAGTTATTATAAAATTATCAATTCTTAATAATAATTAATTGATATTATTGTAATTCAAAATGATGGTGAATTTTAAGTACTCACTAAAGAAGCTCATAATCTAGAAACTAAATTCAATGAGTGTATAATATCAAAAATTATTTTACAAAGTTATTTAATTTTAGATGAAAATCTATATAAATTGAACAAAAATGCTCAATCAAATTAAATTGGTTTGCTGAGGTTTTGCAATTCCTCAAATAATGCCTTGATTTATTCCTAATCATCGACTTCTTATTTTGGTGATTCAAAGAGTGGTTGATTTAAGTTGGTTTCCAGAGTGTGCAGTTCATTCTATAAGAATTTAGTAGTGAAATATTAGGAGATATCTTAGATTATAATAATAATGAGTTACTTTTGAATTTTTTGTGTTAAGACATTGCCCCTATAATGATGTCAATCCTCTCCAATTTGTGGTTCACTTAGTCGAACTGACTATGCAATAACTAGGATATAGAGAGTTTTAACCTTTTTGAGATTCCACATTTCTTCCAAAAGCACACCACTCTTTTATTTCAATATTTGCATGTCCTCGTCTAATCTTGTATTTGTGTCTTTGATATCAGATGCGCACACTCTTAAGATGTTTTACTCCTCCTTCAATTTAGCAGCTACGTAACACAATATGAAGTACATGGTTAATTAGGATTAACAGATTCTTAATTCCCATCATCATTGTTTCTTCTTTTTATAAATTACAACATCTGTCTATTGATAGGTTACTCGAATGTATTACTTAACTCCCTTTCTAAAGCACTTGTGTTTAAACTCTTGTCCGTCTTAGTGTTTACTCTTTTTAAAATTATACAAATTCAATTGTCTAGCAAAATCACTCTTGAAGTTTACCTTAGAAAACTAGAGTAATTCCTGTGTTTGAAATATTGTGGTAGAACCTATTATTATAATAGCTTTTGGCTTTTCACTACAAAACTTAATCCTTCTTCAGTCCAAGAGACAATATGAGATATGGATTGATCCTAATTCTTAACTGGAGATTTACTTCGAGCATTTCGAATGTTTTCATAATAAAGGTTGGGACCAATGAACGAGTAGCCATCTTGTGAATAATATATTTTAATTATAATACACATTATATATTGATTTATCCTAAATAAAAGCAATTTCGAGACTCGACCTCATTTTGATAATAATACTTTTGTTGTCTAATAATATATCCAAAAATTAAAGTAGATCATATGAGTGGTTTTCTGCACATTGGACAGGTAACCTGATGTCCTTGCCATTTACTCAAGCATTCCTTATGAAAAATATGTTGGCAATCTGTCTTAACACATTGTAGTTATGTTTCTTGAGTGAAATCTACTAGACAAATAGAACATTAATGAATGAGTTGCATATCCTCTAAGGAGGGAGTCTGGTATGAGTCGGAAGTTAAAGAATTCCGGTTTCTTCTCCTTAAACAATACCAATATATGAACATCATAGCCACAATTAGAATGAATATAAAAGTAACTACCAATATGATCGTAGCCATCTCCTCCTCATCTTAGAGGTAGTGTATTTAAAAGTCTATTGACAATTTGAAATTAATTTCTTCTTCGGATTGTAATTTGATGATCAATAGATTTTGAGGAGGCTGCTAACCTAAAGTAGTCTCCAATTGAGGTTCTTGCAATAGTCTTATGTCAACTCTTTTGGAATCCCAAAGAGTGTGATTATAGCTATTGTTGATATCGCAGGGTAGGTTATATCTTTACGAAACCAGCATTTGTATTTTGATTTTGGATTTAATAGTGTTTTCTGTTTCAAAAGCAAGGCTCAGACTATAATTAGAAGAGGCATTGAAAGTTGTATAAATATATTATTAAGCTAATATCGAAATGTTCTAAATTGTAAATGGTAAAAACTGTTGAGCTGATTGAGAGCAGTCCTCATCTAAGAATCCTTAATTGCATCGGCATGTGCCATTCTTGCGTTATAGTATTAAAACTTACTATGCATTACCCATTTCGGGTACAATTATTAGGACATTACATGATGTGTGACGCTGTAAAAACTAACTCGTAATTCTACGTTTTGTTGGTTAATATTGTCAAATAGGATTCTGAGTCACTGTGCTAATCTAAGTTTAATTGTAAATAGTGATATTTTTTTGATTATTATTGTCTACTTAATATCTCATATGCATATACCCATTTATATCATAGTGATCGCAAAGTATTCTTTTTTTGGGTGATTGTAAATCGTAGAAGGGAGCTTGTCCATAGGATTGTAATAACAACAAGTTTGGAGATGATCTGGAACGATGTGTGACAAATAGTTCAATTAACAGGTATTTGGATGATTCCTCTTTTAATATTTTTAATTGGAAGGTTGAATTCAACCTTTTTTGGGTCAGATTGAATTTCGTCTGGCCTTGTCTGACATCGATTTCCAAAATTTGGAGAGTAAAAATAGATTAAAAGTGAAAAATTAGGATTAGAAATCTAATCATATTTAGCAAATATAAATTTCTTTGAATTTTTACACAATTAGTATAGAAATGCAATTAGGAATAGTCAGATTTTGTCTATTTATATTCATTTTATTTTATATTTAAAAAAATGAGATCAATAAATAATTCCATTGATACTCCATCCATTAAAGTTAGATTCAACCATAATGAGAAGGTGGATGAAATGAGAACGACAAAAACCATGAAAAAAGCGCACATTTAGGATGAAATATCGATAGCTTGGGAATATTATATGTATATGATCATGGCTATTTTGGTTGAAATTATAGTACTAATTTTTAACAACGAGACAAAAATTCTCAACATGATCAGAATCACAATCCTTATACTTATTTTCATAATCTCCCTTGTTTACGCAAGGAAAATGCAGTAAAATTTATTATTGTGCTTGATTTGTTTGATTAAAATATTATAGACCTCCACCATCTGCCTAAACGACCAAGTCTATTTGATCGTCATGATACCTTTCGCATACGATTCCATTACATACAACAACAAAGTTGCAATCAAATTAAAACTCTTTGAGCAAATTTTAATAAAGATCATAGGTGTAAGTTTAATTTGCATTTTTTATAAATTGCCATTAGCGATAACTATAAATTTGTGTTTGATGGCTTTGGAGATCTATAGAAATCGTATCATCTTTACGAAAAAAGAAGAGAATCAAGCATTAATTAATTACAAAATCCCAATTGAGTACGAATAAGTAGTGCAGAGTGCAAGAGGAGGAGACAACACGTAAAGGGAAGACATCTGGAAGAAACGATTCTACATAATACCATTATCGATCCTATTAATTTCCAAGGAGACTCTAAAAATTACATATAAAAATCAGACGTTATTCAAATAGTTTTGTGATAGTTTTATCAATGAAGAAGAGTTGGAGGATCTCATATTAAACAAATTGCATTTCTCATTGTTATCAGATCATTAGGAATTCGTACAGTTGTCATCTACAAATATAATTAAACTAAAATAAAAAAGATCTAATTCATACAATCTTCTGCCTCAGAAATCTTGCATGACTCAATTGAATACTTATGATTTGATGCAAAAGAGAACTCTTATTGAAATTCTGACTTCAATCAAAAGCGAAATGTACAATATATAAAAAGACGTTATTGAGTTATTTTGTCAGTAAACAGAATTGTCTGGTGCCAAATATTAATTGGAGGCTAAAATTATTTTGTCTGATAAAGATGATGAATTTTTTGTGACCATTAATGACACGACAAAACAAAACGAAATTCAGTAATTCATAGTCAAGGAAGAATTTAAAAGCAAAGTAAATTATATAAAAATATTCGAGATTATAGAATCATTTTCACATGAATTACGAACCCCATTAAATAGTGCCATCAACTTCTTGGAAGCTTCAATATCCGATGGCACCATAGATGATAAATTGAAACTTCAAACACTTGAACCAGCAGTCAATTCTTTAAAACTACAATCCTACTTAATCAACGACATCATAGATTATTAACATTACAATGCAAATCAATTGGAACTCTACGTAACTGAGTTCCCCTTACAAGATTTCCTAAGTGAACTGACATCCCTATTCAGCATATAATTTGATATGAAGAAGATTGCTTTCAATTTAGATTTGCAAAAGAACTCGCTTCAATATATTAGTACTGATCAAACAAGACTCACCCAAATCTTAGTCAACCTTCTGTAAAATTCACTCAAATACACTTCCAGTGGAGTAATTCAACTTAAATTTAGTAGTGTCTCCAATGATATACTGAAAATAGTGATTCAGGATTCAGGAGTGGGAATAGCTCCCAATGTGTTAGAATAAGTTAGAATAACTCTGAAGTACGTTGAGGAAAGCAAGGATTTTCAAACCTTTAAGGCTTGGAAGGGATTTGGCTTATTGATCGTTGCCTTGTTACATTAGAGTCTGTGTCCTCCATCATTAAAATCAATTCAAATCGAATCGACTGGATTCAATAAGGGGACCAAGATTAAGTTCTATATTTTGAATTTCAATTACAGTTCGAAGCAGAATACAATCAAACAGTCTTTGAGTGCTAAGAATACACTGAGACAGTCCTAAAGTGTTAAGAAATCATTCTAATCTAATTCTCTTAGTTAGATATTGCCTATGAATGGAACAATCTTTCTAGCCTAAGACATCGCCTAAGTGAATTAACACATGAGAAGGAGTGAGAAATATCAGAATTCTGGTTCAAACACTTTGGATGATTTTTCGGAATTGTCTAAGAGTCCTAAAATCTAATTTTGCACTCCTGATGCTAATATCTCCTAATTGGTCCAAATCCATCCTGTTTTAATTACAGACATCAAATCAAGTCAAAAGATTCAGATTAAGAATATTAACCCCTAATATTAATCCCAAAAATCTCAAAAATCACAAATGTTCAGTCTAAATCAATTTAGGAAGATGGAAACATAACATAGAGAAGACATCTTCAAGACTTTGGCTACCAAATTAAATAAATGCAATTGTAAGGTCATTTTGTCAGTGGATGATGAAATCTTTAATTAAAAATCAGTTGAGAGACTCCTTTAATAAGTTGGATTTGATGTCAAATTGGCATTTAGTGGGGATGAAGCCATAAATCTAATTTTGAATCTTAAACCTTGTAGTTTGGGGTGTAATCTTCTAACCATCATATTAATGGATTATTTGATGCCACGAAAAGATGGCATAGCCACAACTAAGGAATTAAAGAAACTCATGTTGGATGGTATCATCCCTGAAATCCCAATAATTGGTTTGACTGCCTTTACAGGTCAGTAGGATATTAAAAATTGCTTAATAGCAGGAATGAGTGATGTGCTATCAAAACCTTTAAAAATTTAAGAGTTAAAAGATGTCTTAGCATCTCTTTGATTAGAAATACTGTCTATATATATATATATATATATATATATAATAAGAATAATCATAATATTGTTAGTAACTCACAGAAATCGTTGAGCTTTAAAGGTTTAAAAAGTACTTCTACCATCCCAGCTTCTAGACAACTTTCGATGTCTAATTTACTAGTAAATGCAGTCAATCCTATAATATTGATTTTTGGGATTATCTTCTCTTACATCATTCTATTCAATTAAATAGTACATTCAATACCACCCATTATTGGCATTGAGTAATCCATCAAAATTAAATTCAAAAGTTCACATTCCTTAGAGCATTTTTGTAGTTGCTGTATTTTAGTAATTGCCTCTTGACCATTGTACGCCTTAAATAATGTATTCATAATTACAATGATCACTTCAAAGCCGAATCTCTCGATCAATAATTTGATTGAGTTTTAATTAAAAATTTCATCATCTACTGACATTATCCTTCTGCACTTACATTTCAGTTTCTTCTTAAATTTATTTAAGGCAGCATCGTGGTTTTACCTTTCCATCATTTTCAACTTTGTAAAACTTAGTATTTTTGATCTAATTATTAACTATATTAGACTTACTTCATTGAGGATGATTTCATTGATTGCACATCAAAAGACACACTCTGCTTTTTGTTCTCTATTATATTAATGATGAAATTATGCTGCTAATTCTTCAATTATATGTACTGATTAGATAGATTTAATTATTAATTCGGTGATTCCACAGATTCTTGATCGTATTCACAAGTTCCCTTAAGTAATTTATTAATTGAACCCTTTTGCATACCATTTAATCCTAAATTTTAGGAGGATAATAGATTTTCATTGACCAGGATAACTGTTCCTACAAGACTATTTTAATAATTGTCATTCGATGCTCTTTTAATTCTAACTGATTTCTTTTTTAGTAAATCATCAATGTTTTCACTTATTTCATCAATTAAAATTTATTTAATTTTAAATTTGAACTTAGTGCCTTTTTGTTATTTGGATTTTATCTAAAATGTTTCTGATAATTGTGGATTCAGTTAATGCAATAAAATGCTTGAAATCAGCAATCCAATACCATCCCAAGATTTTAGCTTTGAAAAATGTCTTAAATTATCCACTTAATTCACGTAGGTATTCAACTTCTTAGTAATATCTTATTTGATTCCTATTCCTGTATCAGAAACTGAAAATTATATTGCTCCATCCTCTAAGTTTTTAATTTTTAGAATAGCTCCTCCATGATATGTGTATTTTAAGGAATTTTAAAGAACATTTACTAAGATTTGCATTAGTCTATTGTAATCGGTTGCCATAGAAGTTTACGTGTTCTTAGTTAGATCTATCACAAAATTCAAACCTTTTTCTTAGAATTATAGATTAAAAATGCTTGTAATTTCATTGATAACATCTTTGATCTAAAATTCCCTTACACAAACATCTAAGGTATTATTGTAGAACTATGAAAAGTCTATGACATCATTGATGATATACGATTGTAACTATAAGGCGATTGATGCAGGCTCCAAACATTATTTCTTAATTTATTAGGGTAGTTATTCATTTGCTATGGCAGATTTAATGAAATTTATAGAACTATTTAAAGGAGTCTTGAGTTCATGTGAGAGTGATTCTATAACCTAAAAATAATTAGTTAATATACTTTTTTTTAAAACTCATCTTTTACAATGAATTATTACAATTGCATTTATTTAGATATGTCTGACAAGATTATTGTTAATTCATCATCCTCATTACTCCAGAAGATAGTGCCATTCATTTAAAACTATTAAGAATCCAACACTTGATGGCAATACAAATTTATAGAATTTGTGCAAGGTTAAATGAGATTGTAATAGACTCCTCCTATGAAATTTAGTAGAATCTGTCTAAGCGATAGTTTTTTTAGAGTCTCCATATCGAATAAGCTGGAACCTGATTAGTTAACAGGTCTATTGAAGAATTGTTTTCTTGCAATATGGCTACTTGAATTTTTAAGCATTTCTAAACTGTCTTCCAAAATTGTGAACTCCAATTTATTCATTATCAAATCATTAATTTGGTTATCATCGTAGCATAAAGTATTGAAATTTTTCTTGGCAGTCTCGTTTTTGAATTTAATTCCCAAAGATTTTTTATTGAGAATTATAATTGAGATGGGGATGGCATGCATTCTTTTTATCCAGAGATCTTCATTTTTAATGAGGTTTTCAATGTCGCCATTGTTGCTGCTTAGGATATCAATCTAGATTTGATTGTCTACTAAATTTTTATTATCAGTTATTATTTTCTGACTCTCAACAGATTTTTTATCTTTTTTATTACTTAATTTATATTTTGATCTTTGACCTTTCTAAACATACTAGATTATTATATTATAAATCTCAAGCACGATAGTATTGCATATAATTATGATGAACACCCAATTGTTCCAATAAACTGAGATAAATATTAAACCTAAAATCTTGAGTATTAGATAATTCAATAAATATTGGTAATTCTCTTGTCTTTAAACCCAAATTCCCTTATCGAAAATCAATGAGAGTATCGCTAGACTACTATATTCGTCACTCGATATTAATTGAGTAATGGAAACTACGTCGCAAACAAATTTAATAAGTCTTGCAATCATGGGATTAAGTTTTTTTTATGTAGCTATGATAATTATGGTTAGACTCGAAGTTAATATGAATTTGACAAGCGTAAATACTGAGTAAGTATGATTATATAAATAATAGGCTAGATTACTGAATGAAAGCAGTAGCAAGTATAGTTCTACGTTATAATCATTTACACCACAGAATTTCTCAAAATTGGCAAGGTTAACAATTTTCGGTGAACTCTCTATTTGTATATTGGGATTACTCATATATTTGATTTCGCCCTAATATTATCTTTTATATTTAATATTATTTGAACAAATTAATCAATATAACTCATCCTGATATTAACATGTTGCAAAAATATCTCCACTAACTAGGCTTCCATTTGGCCACAAAAATTTCTTTATTAAAATTTTTGTATTCTAGTTATTTATTGAATATCCTAATTATCTTAAATATAAATTTTAAAATAGGGCTATCTTAAAGAACAAAACCTCAACTTGAATGAATATCTGGCTTAAACTAGATTTAGGTTACTCCTTTTTCTGATTTTCTTCCCCCTCGCTGCTCATTCGTCCTTCCCAGCTTACTTTCAATACTAGATCAAAAATGGTTACTCCAATTATATGATTGTTGGACTCAAAAATTTAATGATTAAATTAATCGAGAACATTATTCTTGATTGCGTGATTCTAATTCTGTATTTATTAATTGAAATGAAATAACATTTTTTCACCACCCTGATTATACCTTTCATGGGTAAAATAATTAATGATCTGAATTATGTATTCGAGAGATATTGAGCCTAAGAAACATCAAAAATTTGGTGATAGATATTTCAAATATAGAATAAGCAACATTTAACTTTTATTGAGAAAGAGGAGTTGCTTGCTTATTTTACAACATTTTTATATGAAATTTATAAGACTTCTCACATTTTGGTTCAAAGTGGTGTTGAATTTATTAAATTAGAATAAAATGATTACTTATAATTTATCAATATAAAATAGGAGTTTATAGATATAAATTAATCAGCAACAGGAGGAATCCACTTTTTTTTCGTCTTAATGAATTGAAAGCACTTTATTAGCATTGCCATTTTATTAATCTTGGTGATGATGGTTAATCAATTTGGCAACTTGCAAAAATACTTCATTGACATTGGTGCCTTCCTTAGCACTGGTTTCAAAATAAGGGATTCCATACTTTTCAGCCAATGATTGAGCCTCCTCATTTGAAATGCATCTCTCCTTGATATCGGCCTTGTTTCCTATGATTGATATGGCGATAGATACCTATTAAGACTTTAATGATGTTTTCACTAGCATGCTATTTAATTTAATTCATCCACTTGTCAATGTCTCTCAGAGAATCCTTGTTGTTGAGTGCAAAAACCAATAGAATGCCCATGGCTCCTTTGTAGAAATTCTGAGTAAGGGTCTGATATTTCTCTTGTCCAGCTGTATCCCATATTTGCATCTTAACCATTTTTTCATCGACCTAGAGTTTCTTAATTTTGAAATCCACTCCTATTAAATGATAGTGGACAATCGATTACCAATTGTACACATATATCCTGTTTTGAAGTTGTTATCGCAGTATCTGAGGAGAATCTGGGTTTTGCCGACTCCAGAGTTGCCCAACAAGAGCACTTTGATTAATTATTCATAAGGGTCTTAGGCCTTTTTGACTAAGGATGACATAATCTCAATATATATATATATTAATTGTCAAATAAACAATTGAAATATTATTAATAATTCTGATGAAAGACAATTTAAAAATAGTAAATAGAACAAATAGATATTATCAAATATTGAGCCGATGAAAAGTATCCCGAAGTTTTTCCTTTGAAATAGGTTTGGTTAACACACAATTAAAGCCCTCTTGAATGCTTTTCTACTAATCTTGGATGCTACAGAAAGCAGTAACTGCAATGACAGGAATGGTTCTCGTTAATTTGATTTTATATTCCATTTATCTAATTCTTTGTACAGCTTCCCACCCACTCATAATGGGCATATTGATATCCATCAAAATACACTTGTATCCAATGCAAGTTGAGGTGTTGCATCGATTAGCCAATTGGACCTCTATTTTCTCAATAGCCTACTAGCCATTGAATGCAAAATCAATGTCGTAGCCCAACTTCTTCATGAGATGGGAGAGGATGTGAATGTTGAATTGCTCATCATCTACAATTAAGGCCTTGTTGCAATTGCAAACATTTGTTTCCACATTTCCAATCTGGTCTCCCATCTATGTTTTGCTACATTTATTGTAATTCAAAACTCGAACCTGCTGAGTGCTTTGCTGTTCTAAAAAGGGAATGGTGTGAATGAATGAATTTTACAATTGACTTTGTTCTTGTTGCACTTGCTCCTCATCATATTACAATACGAAATAAAATTGGGTGCCTTTGCTCAAATAGGATTCAACTGACAGATAATTTTAATGGCTAGGTGCCAAATGCTTTATAATTTACTTACAGACCGACAATCCCAAACTAATTCCGACAGACTATTTGGACACCTTCTCATCATCATCAGAGATGTGCAACTAATTCTATATGCTATACTAATACCTTCTTTCTCAGATTGCATAATTCATCCTCCTTCATCCCTATCCCAGTATCGCTTATGGAAACCTGCAACAAATTCGTATCCTGACAATTGTAGGATTGTACATCATCTATTCCCTACATGGAATCTATATATTATTTTTTAGACACTCTTATTTCGATTCCACCCTTAAATGTAAATCGAATTGCATTCCCTATCAAATTCAACAACACCTAACACAACCTTTAACGATCCCCGATAATTATATAGGAAACCTCTGGCAATTCCACTTTAATTGAGAGAAGCTTCCTTTCGATTTGGTCCTTCAATAAATCTACGCATTCCCATATCACTGAGTTAATCTCAAACTTATCTGATTTCATTATGAGTTTCTCCTCCAGGATGTCTCTGTAATCAAAGAAATCGTAGATCTTATACAATTGGAGTTTTGTGTAACACAGAGCCTATTCTAATTGTTAGGAACAAGACTCCGAGGAAGATTGTTTGTCTTGACATTGTTTGATGAATCCGAAGATGGCGTTTAGATTCGTGAGCAATTCGTGAGAAATCGATCTCAGAATATTCTTTTTGATGGATTCTAACTTCTTGAGTTTGGCTCTTAAGAGAATTTGATTGATTTCATTGATGAAATAGATTTGCAAACCATCATCGTTGTCGAATAGCCTGCAATTCTCCAACACGTTGACTAGGAACTTCATCTTATGGTTGATGGTCGGTTTTGATCTGGGAGCAGGAGTGTTAAAATCTTGAGATTGCTTATGATTGGAGCTGGGGTACTCTTTGCTCTCTTTGGACAACAGTTGATCCGCTGAGATCTTACGACTTGGTGTCATATACAGAGAAGATTTGTTTAATCTGATATGATTTTGAGACTTTTTACGAGAACTCTTCTTGCCAGCTGAATGAATCATCATCTGAGGAGAGTGGTTGAATTCGATTTTCATTGTCACATCTGATGTGAATTTCTTTTTGATTATGCTTTCATCTTCTTGATTTTTGAACGATTGAAAAAACTTTTACTATTATTAATGAGTTTTGGGGGGTTATTATTAAATTTCCACAGAAAATCGGTTTTAGGATAATAATTGGGTTTTCTCCTTACAATAGGTAACATTCTTTATCTTATACTGATCTTCCATTTCAAGGTCCTCGTCATCAAAATCAAATAGAGTCTAATCATTATTCAATTCATCCAATTGCAGGTTCTACAAAAAGCTTAACTAATTTCTAGCTGAATAAATGGAAGACGTTTTTTCAGGCGATTAATCAGTCTCAGCCTAATTTGTACTTTCCAACTTGTTGGCCAAATTGTCAAAGATCTTGTTTGAGTATAGTAAGAAATTCTTATCCTTATGAACAATGCATATAGCTTAGGGAGTAGAATCGATTATCATAAATAGGGCTTGTAGATTTTGAAAATGTTGTAAATAAAGGAACTCCTTTCTCAAAATCTACAAGATTAGAAGGACTGTTGAAAGGAACAATCCTTCAAATGAGGGTAAGTCAGCAAGGAAGATGCTCTGAATTAAGAACAAAGAAATTGTTAAAAATTTCATGCGCAAAGTAGAGTACATACTCTAATAGATGCTTGTGAAGGCAACATAGACCATAAAATAATCCTTTTCATTGATGATGTAGCAAATCCAATACATACAGTATTGTTAAATTAGGGGCAATAATTAGATGTAGAGATGCGATTCTTCGGATATTGCTTTCGAAATGGATAAAAATAAGAGAATGTGGGCACATATTTGGGTTGCCAAGGTAATTTAAATGTACAATGTATCTGCTATTATGGACAATCTTATGATTATGAAGATTAATTGGAGTATCAGAATAGGTCTGAAGGTAGCATCAGCCCATTGGAAGTGATTGTGCCATCTCCACTGTTAGTATTGATCCCACCTCAAAGTTTTGAGATGCTTCAAAAAAGCATTCTTGATGATTTCCCATTTGGGCATGATTATTTTATTAAATTAATATACATAATGGAGAATTGTAATACATGATTGTAACATATAAGAAATAATGCTTATTCAATAATATCTTTAATTAATTTTATCTCTAACTTGCTTTTTAGAGTACTCAAACTTTATATAAATAATGAAGGAAGAAGACAATGTTATCAAATAAGTAACCTAATTTATAAAGTATAACCTCAGGAAGAAAACCCATTTTTTATCCCACATTATATCGTACCCATAAACTACACCCCGATTCAGAACGAAATAGAGAATTATAAAATTGCGATTCATCATTTAACCCAGGAGAATAACTTTTTGAGAAAACAATTGCAACACAACCAAGTCTCAGACCTTCTCTCTTTGAATAAAGAACAACTCAAGGATGAAGTATTTAAAATGATTGACTTTCTGATGAAAAATCTCAATTACCTTCCAAAAGAATAAATCTTTGCCTACCGAAAAACAATTCGATAGTGCACACAGAGGAGTGCACTCAAAAGAATCTATTTCCTCATCTTTACCAGATACTTACAAGTAAAAATCCATATCTCAATGATAGGCTGAAAAAACGAAAGAAGAAATGATTAAATTCATTATTCGCAAAAGTGTGAAGTTTTAAAAGCCCACTAACAACATATAGAAACAACAAATTAAGAAAATGAATACTGCCTTCGTCTAGCAATTATTTCTATCACCTCAATATCAGTAACATTACTCAAACTTTTTAAGTAAGAATTTCATTCCCCAACTAATCTAGGCCAATACCTATAATTAGCACTTGATGAAAATAAACATAAAATACAAAAATACGTGAATTTCATTGTGGAATCAATATAAAATGACCAAATTGATGTAATTTTTAACTCATTTTTTATTAGGATGTCCTAAATTATAAAAGATTTCCCTGGTTGAATGAGTGGATACAATAATCTGTTTAGATTGCTAAAGATCTGCAATTTACTAGCAATCCCCAAAACTTGGAGAACAAAAAAAAAATAAAATTCTGATTAAACACCTAATCGGAAATAATTATGAAGAAAAATAAATAGTTTGTATTAGCTATTAATATTAAATTCAACAATTAATTGTTATATTCAAACAAATTGCACCCTCTCATATTCACAATCACTTAAGAGCAATCTATTTAAATTCAGAAGGTAATCTCTAATGGACATATTACACCCATCAACTATTTTGAGTCTTGAGTTCTCCTTAACCTCAAATCTTAATAAGCATTAAAATTTGGTTTACACAGTTCATAGGTTGATATTATTTTTTATCTGCAACTATCAGAACACACATAGTCTCTTCTATTTAACTATCAAGCATCATATAAAATCATTTTATTGATAATTGAAGAGAATTTATTTTGATGATTAAGGCGTGAAATGACAGATGCAATAAAACTAGATTATTATTTAATATTTATTTAACTAAAATTAGTGTTATTATTTTCAAACTATTTAAATTATAATCATTTTCTTAGATCTGTCAAAGATTTCACTATATTTGCCAATCTAGCAATCTCTAAATCTTTTGCTTCTATCAAATTTTCATAAAAGGCACTTCCACCAGATTACCCTGACTTTTATCTCATTGATAGATCTAATTTTGTGTATTCACCTATCTAATTTTAATAGTTTCTAATTTCCTATTCATAGTTCTATCTTTCTTAATTCAATAATTGTTCCATCTTTCTCACTTCCTATTTGAGATTATTTATTTCCTCTTTCATCTATTGATCTTAAATATTATTTGTTTTCTATCTTTACGTGTTCTACTGTTATTATCTATCCAATTCTTTCCTAAATTAGAAGTTTTCATTTTGCAACAATTATAATTATTTTGCATATTACTCTGAAGTCTCTAAATTCTAATGTTTTAAAATACAAGTACTTCTTATTTAAAGTCTTCAAAATATTCGATTTTCTATCTGAATTCACTTACTTACAGATTCAATTGTTTGCAAATTTTTTGTGCTTTACTATTTATATTATTAAATTAATGTACTCCAAATCATTATTTTTATCCTATAAATCCTATTCCAATTATCTTAATTGATTAATCTTCAATTCCAACTAGGCTTTCAAGTTTCTTGCTTCTTCCTTGAGTATTTTGTTTATCTCTGATTACTTGCTCAACTTATCCTTAAACTCTTGTTCCATGGCTTCAGTTTACTTAGTGTATTACTTCTACAGAACACTCAAATCATTCAATAACCTAATACTTAGAATAATAGTTTACTTATCATTTTCATGTTTCGACTGATTGAACTGTTGTTAAAGCTATTGACATTTAAGTTATAACTGAGACAACATTTGATCGCTTCCTTCGTTATTATTTTCTAATTGTTTTTTAATTTGATGAGCCTCAGTTAACTTATCCTCGTAAGTTCTGATAACATCAATTTGCTTTCTAGAGAAATCCTCCAACTCACTCAAAGTCTTATGCAATTATTTAATCTCCGTCTCTCTTAATTGCAATTAACTTGATATATGCTACAATTCATCCTATAATTCCTCTATTTAAGCTACAGCTTCTTCGTGTTATTTCTTGTTCTCTGTCTATAATTACAATAATTATTTTTTCTTCTCATCCAATTGTTTTCTCAAAGTCTACTTGTCTTACTCAGCCAATTAATCCTGAGTCTGACGTTAAGACTTGAGTTTCTAAAAGTCCTTTTCAATAACATCCAATTATTATTTGTATGTTTTATTCTCAAATTCTAAGACTGAATTCTTATCATTTAATTTATCTATTGCATCCTACTATTCCAATTATTTTGATTATTACAGATTTAAGTATTCCCGCTTTTTGGTTTCCAATTCTTTTTCCATTTATTCCATAGTCTATCTCTGCTTTTTTTCTTATTACTCAAATAATTTGATATTCTATTCTTACTAACTGATAGTCAATTCCAATTCCTATATTAAATTGTCTTTATCCCCTTTCTATTGCAACTACTCTTATTAGGCTGATTTTAATTTACGCACCAATTATTCATTATCATTGTGTAATCCTTAAGTCAATTACTAAACCTTTGCCAATTGCTCATTAAGTTGTTCATTTTCTTAAATTAGCCTTTCTGTCTATTCGGAATAGAACTTTTTTAATTGATCCAATTATTGTAACTAATTTTATCTCTACTGTTTTATTTCAATTGACACTTATTACTCAATGTCAATTCCACTCAGATTTACCTGTATAGAATCAATCTCATTTTTGCAAAATTTCAGCAATTTTAATGCTTCCTTAGAATCAGCCATGTTTTAGAGTTCATTCAATATAATTTATAATCTATTCAATCCTTCTTCCAATATAATTTTAATTTTAGTGCTCTATGATTATATTTATTCAAATTGCGTGGATTTCTTTTTTAATTGAACTGCCAAATCATTCAATCTTTATTGAACTTTGGAATTGTGTCTTTCAATAGTCAATTGTAATTCTGAATCCATCAAATCATCTGGCACTATAAACACTGGTACTTCAGAATTGAATGCTCTATCCAATTCTTTGGCTCGAGTGTCCTTGGCTTTCTTAACCATAGTTTACAATTATTGTAATTAATATTGCAATTGTTTCGTATCTGTTTACTTCAATTCACTCTATTGCTGCTCTAATCTCAATTACTCCAGCTATATTTCGAGTCCTTTTATTAAGTTTTCAACGATCTCCTCTTTATGCTAGATGATCTGAGTGATATCCCTAACTAAGTTTGAGATGTTCAACGATAACATTTGGGCATCATCAGTCATCAATTGATCGTAATCATATGTTGATTCCAATTGATTAACATATTAGGACAGAAAAGTCCTAGATTATGTAGATAGGGCTTGAAGTGTATTAATCAATTGCTATTGGAAACGAGGTTGCTTGTTCGAACTGGAATATTTAGTGGCACTCTAATATTTATGAGCACTATTATATTATTGTTTCGTCGGAGACCTTAATTGGGATGGTTATTGCAACTGCGACTGATATTGATATTACTTAAGTTGTTCTTCTTTCACTTACAGTTCATCTAACAAGATTTGCTTATCGTCTTTCGATTACTTCAATTCTTTTATGAGACGATCAGCCACTTCTTACAACTCTTGAGTTAGCTTCTATTCATGCTGCAACATTTTTTAATAGACAACATCCTGTTGAGATTGCTTTAGATATTCAATTTTGGATTGCAATTGCTCATTAACTTTGCTTTGTTATTTGATTGTGTTTAAGATGGTTTGTTCATTTGGTGTTACATTTAAGAGGGATGCCAAATTAATGAGCAGCTGATTTGAACCTTCTTGCTATTTCTTTTAGAGTATTGTATATTTATCAAATAGAGAAACTAATTTTCTACCATAACATACGCAAGAGTATTATAGTTAAGTAATGAGATCTTTATCATTCTTATATTCTTTTATAACTGGGAGTGAGTCAAATAGCTAGTTTGCATAAGTTTGGATTTTCAAAAAATCGTTGTCTAATTTCATTCGTTATTTTATTAAATAAAATCCATATTGTATATTGGATACATTTATGATTTCGATAATTATTTGAAATCTGTAAATGAGATGGAGGGAGGGAAGGAAACCTACCAGCGAAATTAACTTGAGATATACATATCAATGAAAATCATATTTCTAAATTATATATTTTCACTCTAATTTCTTAATAATGACTAGGGGTAATTTCATTCATTGGTTTGCCATCCAAGAATTATTAAGCATTGTTACTTACAATCACTTGGTAATAATAGGTTAGATAATCCAGTAACAAAATGCCAGTTTCATTTTGTTCAGTTATTCTCAGCTAATGGTTCAACTCTCTAATCACATCCTTTAGAGCAGATATATCACCCAACATAGACATGCCATAAAATTCTTTATATTTCAAATAAGCTTCTCTAAATGCATACTTATTTAGAATGGCTACCACAAATTAATGATTGAAATTGATCACTTTAATAGTGTTGACTCCTTTCTCATATGCTTCTTTTAGCTTGTAATAAACATTACACATACTTTATTCATTATGTCCATCACTTCCTTCCCAAAATAACCCATAATCTTCTCTCTCAATCTTGGAGATTGTAAATATTTGATATGATCAATCAATTAACATGTCCGATAGATGAATTTGCATTGATTTAGGAAATTACAAATCACCTCTTCAGGTTGAGATTCTAGATATAAATTAAGATGCTACCATAGTGAAAGCTTTAGTATGTATGTTACACAACAGTCCCAATCTTCTCCTTGATTTGATTAGATTTTTAATGCTTATGCGAAGTAGAACCACTCCTTGTACATTGCTGGGTTTGATTAACTCTAACAACATTCATATTTGTGATTGATTTATTGAATGAATTACTCACCAATGCTCCTCTCATTTTATTGAGAGCAGTAGTATTACGACGCAAGAACAGCGGATGTTGATCAATGTCAGCCAGAGACAACCTTTGATTTTCATCTACTTATAAGGCTCTCCTTAAGAAATCCTTGGACTCCTCTGATATGGGCACATTTCGGTTAAAATGCAATTGCGATACAGATTCTTGAAATTCACTTTCAGAGTTGATCACCCATGGACATTAACCATAGAGCATTTAATAATAGACAACTCCAATGCTCCAAATGTCACTCTTCTCTGAATATTTATTCTCCAAATAACTTTCAGGACTCATATAAATAGGAGTTCCCACCTTATAAAATACCTTCTCTTTGGGAGCCTTAATCATTTTAGAGAAACCATAATCAGCCAATTTTGGAACTGAATTCTTTATCAGGATATTGGTTGGTTTGATGTCTCTGTGAATGACACCCTTCCTAATTTACTCCTTAAATCCGTTGATTATATGTCTCAATATTTTAAAGGCCTCCACCTCAGGTATAATGCTCTACTATTGGATGAGCTTGCCTAAATCCCCTTAATTGCAATATTCAGTAATGATGTAGGTATTGTTATTGGTATGATAATAATCATGCAATTTGATAACATTGACTGACTATATTAACTTAAGTGCATTTATCTCTTAATTGATTAGCTGTCTCTCAACTTCATTGCTGATTGCTTTCACATCAATCACTTTTACAGCGACCACTTCTCCTGTGTTCTCATCCTTCCCCTTATACACCTTAGAACTGTATCCTCGCCCAATCTGTTCATGCATTAAATACGTATAATGTTCAATCTTCTTCTTTGGAATAAGGTTTTATTATGCTTGGGGTAACATTTAGTAAATAAATAAAATCAATCATTATCAGGTTTTATTCTTTTAAGCAATTATCATAATGATAATCCTCCTAGTGTATCTCATCTACTCCTCATTCCGCATCATCCCAATTGAAATCAATAAGGATATTAAAGCCTGCTTGCTAATTTCATGTTTATTGGAATCTTCCTATTGATAAGCTAAATTCATTTATAAATTCGTATCGAATTGAATTCATATATGAATTTCTCAAAAATCTTTTCGAATTAATTCTCATTATGGATTAACAAAGCTTCCAATATTCTAATTCAACTAGAAGCCATAACGCCTTCTTTTAATTTTGATTATTTATAATAAAATGTATGTTCTATGTTGTCAAATCTTCGATATCTATATTCACGATTTAAGGGTTGTATACAAAAGACTACTTAAGATCCCTCTTATTTACAGAATCACCCCAAAAATTGAAAGTTAAATTACATTAAAAAATGACAAGTTACGTCTCAGAAGTCTTCATCTCCTTCTTGATATAGAGCTATGACAATCTTCAGCAATTCATACCTATTCTGATCACCTGATGAAATTGTTCTTTGAACTCATGATAATTAGATCATTTTTTTTGCAACAACAGTAATACTCTAGAGAGGAGTACTAGCTTCTAATTAATTTATTAGGAACTCTAACTTTAATTAGCTAGATTTGCTTTCAAATTTTGATAAGATTATAAATTGACATACGGATTCAAATGGAAATACATACTGTTATATATAATTGAATTTTATCTGATATAGGATGAAAATTAGCAAAACAACAAATTCATCTTAATGCATTAATAATTACAGATTCTCCAAATAATATGGAAAAATGTGCATTTAATTTTCTAATTCTCATTTATCGTAAAACTAAAATGCTTTTTCTATTATATATATTTCAATAAAATGAATTTTAAATAGGATGCTTTTTAGGCCTTGGATGCCATCTTTACTCATATACAAAAAAGTTAAAATGACAGAATAATAGAGGCATTGGTTGGTGTGAAAGAAAAAATATAGACTAAATTGGATGAGCTAGATAAATAAGAGGAAGATTTAAAAATTAAAGAGGTCTTCCTACAAAAGATATAAAAGCTATTGTAATTTGCTGAAAACCCTGCTAACCTAAAAAAGGTTTGGCAGTATTTCTCCTTCACTGTTTACTCATAACAAGATCAATTTTTGGAACTCTTAAAAAACATCCCTATTTTAATTCATTATCACTTATAGCAAAAAGTATTAACAATAAGTATGTTCATGAAACAAAGTTGTGCTGAGTTATTTTCCCACTCACTTATCACATTTTAAATTAAGTTACAACAGGATGAGACAATATAATAAGAGAACATCGAAAAAGAAGATTATGTTGGATGCATTACCTATGTATCGCCAGAAGTTTAAAATGAAAGACTCTATAAAATAGTGATGAAATTACAAGGCTTTATTAGTAAAATCAAAAAATTAGACGACTTGATCCAAAACAGCAACTTGGATTCTGATCTCTTAAAATTCAGTATCTAAAATAACGAGAATAAAGAGAAGAAAATTACGTTATGGAGCTTGGATGATTAAGTAAGCTATCAAATCACAACAAAGTACTTTATTTAATTATTCTTAGACCAACTCTAGAAGAATAACCTATATTTGAGTAAAGAATCTACCTGCAAACTGGTATGGTTATTCAACTGAAATAAAATTTTAATCTGATAGTCAAAGGCTGTGGAAACTAGGGCAATAAAGAGAAAAAAGCAGTTAATGAGCATTTAACTCCTTATTTAGTTGGAGAATAGTAAGTTTAAATTAAACCTATACTAATAAACGACAACTAAAGATGGATCTCTATCAACAATGGGTTTGAAGATGTGATTTATTATCCAGCTGAAACTCCAATTAAATTATCTTTAATCTAAACACTTCCAAGGGGAATTGAAGTGTTATTATAAAATGATGGGGTTGGCAATTATATAACTGTTGTTGGAAATTGTTAGGGATTTGCTCCAAGAATCAAATCCAAGAGGAGTGAGGGTTAACTCTTATAATTTAATACTTATCAATAAAATTTCAATCTAGGAATCATTTACTAAGAAAATATTAAATTATAATTGTATTCTGATTTAACTTCATTTTGGAATGGCAAAGAAATATTTGAATTTTGAAGTTAAAAGAATTGTTAATTTTATTATCAATTATTATTTAATAATAAATAGATCAAATTAATAGGGTCTAGTATTTTCGATTTAAATATCCCGAATAAGTCTTTTATTTAATTATCCTCTACATATTGTGATAATTGTATATTTTTTAAAATGTATTTTACCAACTGATCCATATTTTCAGAATTCTACAAAATCACAATTAAAATTGATCTAAAATCTTGCATAGATATTGCAGGTTGATTTTGAGGATTAAAGAACTTAAAATACTCAAATATTATACTTTAATAAAAAAGTTAATTAAGGTTTCCTCTTTGAAATGCTAACTTATAACAATCTATTTGAATAATCTAAATTGATTGTAATACACCTTTTCTTATTCATTGTGAGGATTGATGTCAAATGCCAACAAAATTCGATCCTGAACCACTCCAGACAACTCAGTGAAACTTAAATAGGATTCTCTTAATATAAATTAGTATATGAAAGGATCTGTGAAATTAAACTATATTTTTACTTTTTCCTGTTTCTTTAATGTCGTAAATATCTTTGTATTATTGAGTATTCTTAACTAGAACCTTGAATTCTTTGATAGTGTTCATTTCTTTGTATATTTCTTTCTTTGCTTATCTGATCACTCTTGGATTGATAGTCAATTATTTTTGATGTTCAATAATATTGCTTATCATACTATTATTCATAGTTATTTCATCGCATAATTGACTCTCGTCAGCTCTCCTTGTGTTTTATGAGTCCTGTTCGTAAGACTTTAATGTTTTCTTATACATGGCTTAAATATTCATTGCCCCCTGAGTAACTGTAGCCTGTTTCATTACATCTAAATCCCCCTCTGTAAATATATTATCCAATTTGCTGAAATGAAGCAATTCTTATTTAGTAGAATCATTTAGTTCATACCTCTTTCTAGGTGTTTTCGTCAAATTTTGAAGATGAAAGGGTAGCAATTTCTATAACTTCTTATCTGATTTCATTAAATCCATCATATAACTCTTGTACTTATAATTTTTGTAGCCCTTAACCTCAAGATATTTTGGTGTGGTGGTTAATTTCTATATCTTTGGAAGACTAAAATGTGAAGATGAAGTATTTCGAGATATTTTACTTTGAGACTCGTTCATGCCTTTATTGTTAATTCGAATATAAATAAAATAAATAATATTCAGAGATTACATACATGGTCTAATTAATTTTATATGTAAAAACTAAAATTTTCTCTATTTTCCATTTAATTACAACTTTATCATTTTATTGGAAAATTGAACTTTCCTTTTTATTATAGTAATAATCTTAATTAAATTTCACTTATAAAAAATCATATGATTGAAAGTAAACAAGCTTGTCTTGTTAGTAATTTTGAATGAAATGATATGTTTAGATGTTGAGGGCAATTTAATAGATTTTCTATTAGTTAGTACTTAAACCTCAGTATTTATGATAAAATGTAGTAAATACAATTAAGTTTTTTTAAACATTTATATATTTGTATATGTATTAATTTAACTGTTGAACCCTACAAATGCTTGATATTTTCTCATGGACATGCTCTATTTTTTGTTCCTTTAACAACCTAGTCCAATTAAATAGTAAAATAAATATTTAATGTTGTTTAAGTCTCATTAAAATTAAGTTTTTCGTTCGATGGGTAGAAAATGTTAAAATTTTTACTAAAAATCATATTAATGTTGGGAAACTTGAAGTTTCAATAATAGAATACTGAAGATTAATACTTATTAAATAGTGATATAGATTATTTATTAATTATTCTTATTTCTTCAATATATGGTACATTCACAAGATAATTTTTAAGATCGAGCCTTTTTTTTCTCAATAGGATTGCTTTCATTATTTTCTGAAAATAATATTTCCTCTTATTTCAGAATTTTTATAAGATTCTCTATCTTTTCCTTTTCTTCATTTACAGTTTGAGGTTCGGATTTGAGGCTAATGAAATGCTATATATTATTACGATTGGAAATAAAATTTAGATTTTATGAGTGTTTTATATTTATGATTTAGAGAAGGATTTCGATGATAGTTCATCCTAATTTCTATATATTATTTATTTCAATGATTTAAGCAACCAATTTAATAAATATATTTATATACATCACTCTGTTGGGATATTGAATGATATAAATTGAGATTTCTTGGCTTTTTTATTTTTTTAAGTTTGCTACTGTTCATAGCATTGTTTAATTTAAGAATCTTATCCAAATGTATTTTCCTAAACTTGGATTTGATTATATTTTGGAGTCGAAGATTACAAGACTTCAGCATCACCAAACAGTTATTTGATGGTTTATTCATTTGTCAGTCCTTTCATCAGTAACTAAGTTGATATGTGTATTTACTTGATTAATCAGAATTTGTAAGGTGGTTTCAGACTACGACATCTATTTAGATAAGAGTAAGATATTCATGATTTCCCTTGGATTAGTAGTGTACCCAATGTTCTTCAGTAACATGTAGGTTGAATCAAAAAGGTTCTATTGACTGGAGTCCTCCAATGTTATTTCAGTCATCAACATATATTGATCTTAAGTTTGGACAGCAGCAATTTCCCCAAAATAAATAAAATAATAATATAACTCGCCATCTATTTAGATTCTTTATATCTCAAAGATCAAATGATCTTAGTTCTTCTCCTTCAACTTTTGACAAAACACCTCACAAAAGATTTGGAGATCCAATTGGATGGGTAACACAAGAACTAAATTTTTACTCCACTCCAAGAAGTAATCCAAAATGTCTGAAATCGAAGGGAAAATATTGGTTATAGATAGGTTTTCATCTATAATCTAATAGTCTGGTTAGATGAAAAAAACATCATTTTAGATGATAGGCAATTTAGGCAAACTGGCTTAAATAAATTCACACCTAATGTTTAAATTACATTTCGTAGTATTATGATTAGCATTCTTTATTTATTACATAGAAAAGTTATTCCCCAAAACAAAAGTATTTGTTTCGGAAGAGAACTAAATTGAGCTAATACCACTTCTAGACAGACCATCTACAATAAAGGAGGGCTTGACTTCCCTCATTCTTCTGCCTATATATTGCAATACTTTCTCTGGTATCAAATAACTTGACTCATCTTGTTCATACATAATGTCATTATTAATATACGATATGAAAACCGTCAATGGATTCTTTTCTACTAATTTAGACTTTCTCATAGAAAAATCAACGAAAAAATTCTTTTAGGTCATTCTAACAAGCATGTAATTTAATGTCTCAAAATTACCAAAAAGTTCCAAGGAAGTCTTTTCATCTTTTTTTATTGTTATTTACTTCTCCTCAAAGGATTCCTCTTCATCCTAATCTAATGAGCAACATATGAAATTCCAAAATTTTTTCATATATAAATTATGTCATAGTTGAATAATTTCAATTAGTTTGAATTCAATTTGATTATGTAATAAACAATTATTGAAAAAATTGGAATAAAATATTTAGAGAGTTCTAAGAATATTTTATTTCCACTCTTGAAGAATATCACATAGATATTTATTTTGATTAAAAAGAATAAAAGAGTTGATGATGCAACATAGTTATATTTAAATTGTTATTAATATACAAGATCAAAAATTAAAATGAATTCGTAAATATAGGTATATTTCATAAACGAATGAAACTCTCTTTAATTGAATTCCATTTCAGTTTTTCTATTTTTTTATTTAGAATGAAATGTAATTATTCAAACTTAATATTATATACATAATTAGAAAATTGGAAACATTGCATAAACTTTAATACCTGTTAATATAATATGTAAAAGGATATTATTATAAACAGAAGGGAAATCTGAATGTAAAATCAAATCAAATTTATGAAGATTGAAAAATATGAATATTTGATTATCAATTTTTAACTTTCCATTTTTATCTATCAAGTGGGCAATAATCTTATTCTTCAGTCCATCTAACTATGCAGTGTAAATGAAAATGATGATTGCATGCTCCTGTCACAGGGGGACATTCATCTCCTGGCAATTTGCATCTAGGACAAGGTTGTTCAAATGCTAATTAACAAATTGTGCATCTATCTGTGTCTAAACTCCATATCCATGAAGCAACAGCATTCCATTCTTTTATCTTGACTTTCATAATTTGAATTTCGTATAATAAATAAATTGTTTAATTAATCTCTTTAAATATTGAATAATAAAAAAATAGAAAAGCAATACAGTTTAGTAGTTACATAATGTTAAGTGTGAATAATTAATTTGTATTATTTCATACATCAATGACTAAGAATAATATTTTTAATCATTTCTTCAGTTATTTATTGTCCTATAATCAGAATTTTACTAATAGATTGTTGATTTATATTTGGTAAATTAGTTGGAGTTATTTCAAAGATATCTTCAACTCCCTGCAATGAATACATGACTTATTCATCTTTACAAAATAACAACCCTTTAATTCTCATGATATTCAAGCCTTCTTCCCACAACATCTACCCAACTTTAATATTCCACTATTATTGAGTAATATTTGGAGTTTCTATGTTTAAAAATATTTTGGCTATATTTCCAACTTCCTCAAAATGGATATGTTCCTAATCGAATATTTTATTGTCTGCTTTTTCTGACTCAAAAATACTCTGTATATCAATTTGTGCCCTCACAGATTTCAGCAACTTGGCATTAGGGTTGATTATTTTTAATTGCTTTTCTATTAAGATTATATCGAATTCCTGACATAAGTCCTTGGAATAATAGGGAAATTTACTTAAAAATTTAACAACAATAAATCTGCATGAATTATTTATTTTCTAAAAATTTCTAACTCATAAAGTGTCTTAAATTTGTGTGATGGAATCAAGCCTACTATGGTTGCTAATTCTGCTGGTAAGTTCAATCCTTAATCAGCCCATAGCTCCTTAATTAAACTTGATGGATCAGCTAAACCATTTGATTCAATGATTATAAATTGAATATTTGGTTTCTTCTCAATAAAATATTGAATGGCTGTCATCAATTATCCTCTTATTATGACTTTTAATCTTACTTGGCAGAACAACATATGCAACCATTGGGCAATTCGAAAAATGAATCGAATATATCACCATTATTATCTACCATCAAAGGTGCTTCAATTCCCATTTCATCAGAAAATTCATTCTAAATTACAGCCACCTGATAAAGAGTCTACACCTTTAGGATATATTGTAGTAGTGTAGTTTTGCCAGAGCCTAAATAGCCTGTAAGTAAAATAATTTTGCATTTATTTGTATTGTTCATATAATTTATTTGAGGAAAATAATTAATGATAAAAAGCTTTGGTACTTTAGTAAAGTGCAGGAAACATTTAAACGAAATTAGAATAATGATTTATTTTAATTATGAATTCTTAATCTTCAAGATTCTGTTGTTGCTTCCGAATCGTAAGTAAAATAATCGTAATTGTCATATTATTCCTTTTTATTTACTGGACTATCAATGGCAGGTTCATCTAAAAACATCTTAAATATTATAAATGTGATTACTTTATTAAAATACCTTAAATCTAATTCATCACTTAATTCTGGAATTATTGGAGGTATCAATTGCCGATTTGAGGCTTGATTCCAATCAATGTCTGCAAAGAATGGATGTTTTTTGATTTATTATATATTAATTCTTTATTTAGGCTATTAATATGGAATATATTTACATTATTATTTAATAATCCTGTAAGCACACTTGAACAAGCTTCAGAAAACCAAGGCTTCATTTCTATTTGTTTTTCAGTTCTATTTCTGAACATCATCGTACGATCTTGACTATAAAAAGGTGCAGCTCCTGTTAACATTTCGTACATTAAGGCTCCTAAGCTCCACCAATCACAGGATTCGTCATGACCTAGTTTATCATCCGAGTATATTTCAGGGGCAAGATATTCTGGAGTTCCTACAATCGAAAAAGAAGGCTTATCTCGATTGCTTATAATTTTAGATAATCCAAAATCAATTAATTTGATATGGCCATCGGAGCAAAGCAGGATATTTTCTGGTTTTAGATCTCTATACAAGATCTTAGAATCGTGTAAATATTCTAAGGCGATTATAATTTCGACAGCATAAAATTAAACTTAATTCTCTTTAAATTTATACGCTCTTCTCAAGTGGAAAAACAATTCCCCACCTGCACAGTAATCAATAACATAATAAAGCTTTTATTGAGTTTAAAAGGCATAATGGAGTTTGCTTATAAATGGATGGTTTATCTTCTCTAAAATGATTCTTTCTGTTTTTGCATATTCAACTTATTTCTTAACCTATAAATCTTATTTGTTCACAATTTTCATAGCGTAAATCTTCCCAGAGGTACGCTTACGAACCAACAACACTTTTCCAAAATTTCCCCTGCCTATTGTCTTTAGCAGCTTAAAGTTTGTCACATTGATTTTCTGAGAATCATTTGTTATAACTATACTTTGCTTATTAAAAGTAATAGTTTCTGTTTAATATTCATTAAGCGGCTTGGAATTAGTGTTCGCTTATTAAGATACAACATCTTATTAGCATTCCTCATTTTTTTTAAAACAATTGAGACATTATCCCATATTATATAAAATACTTTTAATATGAACGATTTAAAGTCTCCAAAACAAATGGTAATTTTTGGATAGAAAAAACACCAGAATCTCTAGAACTATAATCACCCTATTCTTATAATGCAATAATTCAAAACAATAAGATCGTTGAAAATTATAAGAATGAGTCTACTAAGAATCTATATGTTTGGATTACAAAGAGCTCTGTTATAAATTTGTGATGAATATTTTAATCCATTTCAACATTTGAATTAACCAAGCTTCATCAATACTAAAGCATTCTATTCTAATTTAAGCAAGAGACATAATTCTTAAATACTATTAACAAGTCTTTCAGTATTTTATCAACTAATCCACCTTCAATAAGAGTGTTATATCAAGATATTTAAGTTCTTACATTATTTTCTTTCTTTAATAGTGAAATTTCAGATGCCAAAGTTAACTTTTGATCAAAAATACTCTCTACATGATATTTTTTGATTAATCAAAGTGTCTGTTGAATACTCTTTAATATTACGTTAGATAAAATTTGGCTAAAGCAGTATTTAAATCAATCTTTAAAACTTAGATGATGAAAATAGGTTTACAAGATTTCCGAACTTTAAGGACTTTGACACAAGAATCAAAGGACCTTGAATCTAAAAATTAATAGAAATACTTGCAATAATTTTATCAGAATACACAAATAATAGATATAAAAAAAATATTCAAAAATAAGATATATATTAAATTTAGAACCCATCAAAAAAGTTAAACGATTATAAAGATGCTTAAAATGCAAAATAGAATTAGAATTAATTGATTGAATCTTGTATGATTATTTTTTTTATTAACTGATTACTAATTAACACTTGCTTAATATTAATTTAAGCCCCTAAGCAGAAGATTCAAATTAAAAATTTTCGAAAATAACCCTCCTCTAAATGTTGAATAGAGTTATTTCAATAACCTCAATAATTTTAAATAAAGTAAATTTTTGATAGGATATTACTAATTCTTGTTTGAATGAATAAGGTTATTTATGTTATTTTTATAAGATTATTGAATTTTAAGTTTATATGAATCATATATTATCTTTAATTGGATAATGAATAATTCATCTGATCATTAATTAAAATGTTTTATCTTAAAATTCAGGAATTGAAGGTCATTACTAGAATAAATATAGTAATACCTAACCGAAATTGTATCAATAATTAAATACAGAAAATTCATAAATAATTGAAATAATTCTTTTTCTCAATTCAAATGAATTTTAGAGTGAAATTCAAAATTAAAAATTCTTCTTAATCTTAGGATTATATTTAAAATACAAATATGAAACAATAAGCTAAAATAAATGGAATTTCTTATACGTAGACAGTCAGAATTATCATAATATTTATTAAATATAAATATATAAATTTATAAAAACCAGAAAATTATTTTTATTAAGATTTTTAGTCTATTATACAAGTTATTTCACTCAAATATGAAATCAATAATTTTTATATGTTAGTAATCTGGAGGAAATAAAAAGAGTTCATTTTTTAAGTATTAACTCGTGGACTAGTTTGTTAAAAGTAGTTAACATTTTAGCAGTTTTGCAGAAGGAATTCATTTTTAATATTTCAAAAGTAACTGATCATCTTGGGATTTCAAGTATAAGAAACAATTTAAAGACCTTCTCAAATTGAATGATTAAAAAGAAGAATGCAAATAGTTCAGAAATAAGGATTATGTTATAGATTAGTAAAATAATAATTCTCTGTGTAAAAGAGAATTTAAGAAAATTGGTTAGAAACATTGATGCATTAAATTGTTTGCATATTTTTTCTTGCAATCCTATAGTTCTAAATAACTCTTGGTTGCTAAGAGAATAACAAAAATTATTAAATGCGAACTTCAATTATTTTCATCATCTAATTAAAGAATAATAATATTGATTATAGATTTTTAAATGTGGGGTGAGATTTGTAACTAAATTATTGATTTATGATTTTTTATAATTAGGAATTAAGAACAATTGATATATTAATAGTATCTTAATTTCCTAAGTTAAATATTAGAAGTTTAGGATTGTTTAAATCAATATCTAATTACTAATAAATATAATGTGAAATATTTATTAGTTATTATTTTTTATAAATGCAAAGCTCAAACTTATATTTTGTATATAATTCTGGATCTGAATAATTTTGGAAGAGAAAAGATTATTAATTAATTAATGAACTCATGCAGGGATTACTCCAAGATTCAAGAGAGATGATAACATTGTATAAAACGTAGAAAATATTGAAAAAGTTTATTGCTAGACGATATAAAACCTTTTAACAACATCTGTTTTATTTCAGAGAGGTACAAATTGAATAGTTATTAGAAAGAATGGTGAATTGGGGGGATTTGTGGTATTAAAGAATGTATATTTTAAATTAACCAAAAAATATGCTACCCAAAGCATTCCTTATGACAGTTGCCTGACTCTAATTAGGGATCGCAGTAGAATTGATCTTTATTTTAATCTTTCCCCTGAGATTGATATATTTTTAAGAGAACTATAGAGATTCTGTATTATTGATGGGTTTGATTAGCAATATTAATTGCTTCAAAATATAGGTACTGGTTCTACAGCTTAAGTACAATTTTGTAAATAAATTAGGTCTTTTTGGCTGAAAATATTCAAGATCACTAGTAATACGCAGTAAAGCAGATTGAAAAGGAACAAGCTACAGGAAGACATAGAGTGTTGAGATCGAAAACATTATTAGAAGAAATTTTTATGATGAGAAGCTTGGATCATCCGAACATTATGAAATTGCATCAAGTATATGAATCAGAAAGTACTATTTCCATCCATCAATAGAGCACATTTAATTAGTTATTAGCTTATTTGAAGGCGGATAGTTGATGGATAAAATCAAAAACTTTAATTTCCTAATCAAAAGAGAGTTGGCAAAAGTCTTAATTGAAACTGTTCATTATATGCATACCAAAGTATGTCAAATATAAATTAGGGAATTATGCATCGAGATTTAAAGCCATTCAACATACTCTACAAAAATAAAGATCCTTAGGATTGGCATATTGGAATTGGGGATTTTGGATTCTCAACTTCAATTAAACAACAATAGCATATTTTATATAAATGTGGTACTCCTGGTTATGTGGCACCTGAAATCATAGAATATCGAGAAAAGTCTAAGATGTATGGATTGTCATGTGATGTGTTTAGTATTGGCGTAATTATATATGAAATGTAAGAGTAGAAAATTTAAATAGCTTTTTTAATATTCATCCATTCAAAAGCAAAACTAAAGATGACACTTTGAGATAAAATGTTAATGCTTAAATAAATTTTGATGATCGCGTTTGCATTCCCTAATCTCTAAAATCATTGATAATTTCTATGGTCAGAAAAAATCCACGACATAGATTCACTTTACAATAATGTTTGGAACATGATTTTTTCAAAGAGAGCTTGTACAGATTCAATGAACTATCATAAGAAATTTAGGAGTATCATTACAAATATTAATATTCTAGACATGAACCAAAAACTATGGAGATCAGAAACATTAGATGTCAAACATTATAGCTGTTAAAAACTTAAAATAATAGAAGAAGACAATCCTTACCTTAAGATTTCTCTGTTACCTAAGAACCATAAATTTAATAAAGTAATACTATATTTGGTATCAAAGGAAAAAGCATTGTAATAAAACACAGATAATCAATTTCTTCCACTCATGAGTCTAAAATGAAGTTAGAATCTCAATAGTAATTTTATATATCCTAATAAAATTAATTACTAATGCCATCCTAAGTGAAATTACCCTAGATAGAAAAAATTAACGAGATTTTCATAAATGATTTACATCAAATACCAAAGGAATTCGGAAATACATATTTAATTAAAAAATATTGAAGATTATGATTATATATATATATCATCTATTTTGATAATATTATTATCACACATAATCCACAGTTTAAGACTTCAAATGAAAATTTGAATTAAATTGAATACTTAATTAAAATAAGTTTATATAGTATTGTTCTTAATTATAAAATTAAACGCATTGTTAAACTAAGTGTTTGAAAATTATAATGCCTAAAAATATCAAATGAATTTTTAATAGTCCACAATTTTGGGATTATCTAAAGTAAGTGTACTAAAAATTAATTAGATTTTAATAATATAATATGTATAATTTATTAAATTTTATAATCGCTCAATTTTAATAATGATATAAGTTACTAGAGTTAACAATATATAATACCAATCTCTTTCGTCCCTTTTGATATATTCTCTATCAATAAGATTTTCAATTCTTTTTTTTATGAATTTAGTATCTGGTTTGAATATTGTGATAATTTGTGCACATTGAGCTATTAAATCAGAATGTGTAACCGATTTTTTGCTTTTCATAGTTCTTACAAGTTAAGAATCAACAACAAATTCTCTTTATTTAATCAGTTATTCTTCTTATTCTCTTTCCTCCTATGTTAATTCTCCTGCTTTTCTCTAAAATATAAAAATTCTAAATTACTAACTGACGTTTAGGTTGCATTTTAGCATTTGGCAGTAATTTTAATTTTTTTTATTTATTATTAAAGTCGAAATTCAATTTAATGATTTCATTTTTATCTGAAAATTCATCTAGGTCTTCTTTTTGTCTCTATAGAACTTTATTACAAATGAAGGGAATCAGGGAGTTTTCCAAATCAACCTAACTTATATTTTATTATTTATACAATATTTATTTTTGTTCTTTCTTAGATTTGTTAGATTGTTAATTAATTCTCTTTATTGAATAGTAAAAATGTAATCATTTAGAAGGTTGTCACAATTAAATAATATTTATCATTCTTTATTTTATAATTTAACTCCCCCTGTCCTTTATTGTAAGTCCAGAATAAAATTCTTCCACTATTTTTTGTTAAGTAAATTTTTTCGTAAAGACTGAATCAATATACATTAATTTCTACCTTAATGAACTTAAAATCTCTTAGGGAGCAATAATTTAATCTTAGATATTCCCAATTGGCCAATAGCCGTAAGATAACAGATAGACTGTCAAATCAAATTTTTGATTTTTATGAATCATCTAATCAGTAGCAAATCTATAGGATTGCTAAATATCATTCACCATATTTTATAATTCAGATCTAAGATCAAAAATTATAATAGTTACAAAACATTCGTTTAGGTTTCTCCCTTGAATTTTTATAATAATTGTTTTTCTAAATTTATATTCTGTGTCTATTGATTTAACAATCTAAATTATAAATACTTTTTATGTTGTTAAAGAAATTTATCTCTTGAATATAGCAATTAAAATAGAGAAAAGATCTTATTCAATTTCTTATCAGTCTCAATTTCATTTACCCCTTTTTAGCTTCTTATCTATATATCAGCATAAACTGCTAGTTAGAAGAATGATTCCTGAAGTTCATTAAATGCTGCAGTGAATGCAGTCTCATAAGCTGAAATAAGCTTTATATCATTTTGCATATAATTTTTTATCGTTTGTAATGTCTTTTCCATAAGGTCAAACATTTAATTGCAATATTGCTCTGCCAGGACTGAATTTGTAAATTTAGATGAATACCTTGTTTATTTACTTATTATTATTTTGACGTATCATAAAAATTTGAATTCACTTAACGAGCAATAACTAAAAAGTAAATTTAGGATTCTTAAGCAATAAATTTTACACATGAACTCTCCCTAGATATTAGATTGTATAATTCTCCCAGTTATGCAAATCTCCCATCTTATAATAAATATTATACTCCTCCAGCTGAGAGTCTTTCTGCTTACTCTATTACAAACAGCTAATTAAATAATTTTTTTATTTGATCATAACTTTTTGAATAACTTTCCAAACACATCTACTCCTCTAATTAAATAACTCTAAGTGCCCATCTTACAAATTCAATGACTCCTAAATTTTACCTCTCAGAAATTTAACATTTATAGAATTTCTGAGTCTAAAACAACATCTAAATAATATTACCTCTTCTAAAAATTTTTTTTCAAAGTTCTCTTTATAAAATTTCTCTGTTTCTAAAAAATTTTAGCAAATGTAATCATACATTCCTTATTCTTTTTCATATTTCAACTTTACTGTGTTCGCACCCATTACAACAAATAACTCACACAGTGATTTAATTTGTTTATCCAATAAAAGTTGTTTCTGCCTTGATTCCAATAAGACATCCAAAATAGTTCGAAATAATTTTTCCTAGCCTTCTTTAAAATACTCAGTTTTCAATGTCTCAAGTGAGAGACTATGCAAATCAGCTCCTAATGATGATAAAGTGTTTATATCTAAATGATAAAAAATCTTAAAAAGCCAATATGAAAATGCCTTGTAATCATGGTAATGCTTGGCCACCAATTAGAGGGTCTAAATTTCAGAAGTTTATAAATACAGTCTCTTTTTAATTTTAAGTTTTCTTAAATTCTTCATACATCTCTGCCACAAACTCTTTTAAACATAGTTTGTACAATTTTATCATTTTGATTTCTATACCCAGATTGCTTTCTTCCTTAGATTATTACTTTTTGGCAGTCCTTGGAAAATGTATGCTCCATTCACTTGATAAATCTAAAATTTCCCTTAAAAAATCACAAATATTTACCTGTTCAAATACATTATTTCATCTTTAGGCAATTGAAATTATGCTCCTGCAAAAAGACTATTTTTTAATAATCTTGCATTTTTTAAACACTTCTCCTCTAATATATCAAATCTATTTTCAAAATCCTTTAACATTTATGTTAATAGAAATAATATAATACTAATATAACTTATTCCATTTAAAAAGCAGATTTAATGCTATTATTGTTAAACCATCAGAAATTTTACTTCTTCCAAGTAAATTACAAAAAGAGTTGATTTGGATAAATTGTAGAAATCTCATTCATAATAATAGAGATAATACTATAAAACTAAGGCTTACTATTATATATTTAATATCGTTTCAAATAGATTAAAGGATTTTATATAGTAAGTAGAATTTATTAAATATTATTCGATATTTATATTCCCATTAAATTATTTATATTTTAAAATCAACTATTTAATCCCATATTATGATGGGTATAGTATTAAATTTCAAATTTTAAGTTTAGATCATATATATCTAGGGATGATTGTGCTAATATCATATTCCTAAATTTATTTCATCTATTTTTGAGCTAAAGCTACTGACTTTGAAAAACTTCAATTATGTTCATATAATTATATTATTAAATTAACAAAGAACAATGCAATTTTCAATTCCAATTCATATTAAATTATAAATGTTTCTTAATCAACTAAATAATAGAATGGCACTTATAACTTCTAAAGAAATTTAATTATAATTCAAAATATTAGTAAATTTGTCTTAATATTTTGAATTTTCTGCCTATGTTTTAATTGTTAATTCTAACAATTTTGTGCCTTTACTACAATACATGAGGGTAAATTTTTATTTTTAATTTCTATAAGAGTTTTAAAGAAATAATAAATGTATAAAATATAGTTTATTCACCACACACCTAGGAAGAGTTGCTTGGATTTCCCGTCTTTAAAGACTCTATTTTAGGAAAATTATAATTATTTGTTTGAATTAAATAAAATAAATATAGGAAAATTACTAAACTAGTGTTCTCAAATTAAGCTATATGATATATAGGAACAGCAAGTGTAAAAAAATTTAGTTTTCGCTGGCTTTCTCTCAAATTATCTTAGGTAATTAATTTCACTAAAACATGGCTCTTTTTAATGATAGTTTACAATAGGATATTATTACTATATTAAGGAGTTATTTTCATTGTCAAACAAATAGAGGATGATTGGAAATGTTATTATCAGTAAATTGTCATTTTTTCTATTGATATAATTGGAGTATTCGGGATGTATTTTGATGTGGATAAACATTTATTTTTAATAGCTAATATTTGAATTTGCAGTTGAATAAAATTGCAATTTTAATTCCTGATTTAAAAAAGAGTGTTAAACTCCTTATATTAATCATATCTAATCAATCTATCAATGCTATAATAATCTTGGATTATCTCACAATTTTGATTTGTATTCATAATTAGATTTGGAAATGAAAAAGTAGAATACCTTTAATTTTTAGCAAAAGGTTAGGAGCCCTTTTTAACTATTCATAAGAAACTTGAATGTTACCACTATCTGTAGGATTCTATTTATATAAAATATCCTGAATAAGCAATTAAATTCTATTGATTTAAAAATACAATATTATTTAGAAATGAATTTTATTCTCAATAAATGATATTAATGTAAGTATGAATTTATAAATATATAAATAAATTCTTTATTCAATTTATGTCAAGATTTTGCTTTCTGATATTTACTTAATTATTGTAAACACTTTGCTATTAAAATTTCATAACTTCACACATTTTAAAAAATATTTTATTCCATAGGATTTAAATTGATTGCTTTATTGAAATTATCTATTGCTTCATTGTAGTTTCCCAGATATTGNTAGTATTAAATTTCAAATTTTAAGTTTAGATCATATATATCTAGGGATGATTGTGCTAATATCATATTCCTAAATTTATTTCATCTATTTTTGAGCTAAAGCTACTGACTTTGAAAAACTTCAATTATGTTCATATAATTATATTATTAAATTAACAAAGAACAATGCAATTTTCAATTCCAATTCATATTAAATTATAAATGTTTCTTAATCAACTAAATAATAGAATGGCACTTATAACTTCTAAAGAAATTTAATTATAATTCAAAATATTAGTAAATTTGTCTTAATATTTTGAATTTTCTGCCTATGTTTTAATTGTTAATTCTAACAATTTTGTGCCTTTACTACAATACATGAGGGTAAATTTTTATTTTTAATTTCTATAAGAGTTTTAAAGAAATAATAAATGTATAAAATATAGTTTATTCACCACACACCTAGGAAGAGTTGCTTGGATTTCCCGTCTTTAAAGACTCTATTTTAGGAAAATTATAATTATTTGTTTGAATTAAATAAAATAAATATAGGAAAATTACTAAACTAGTGTTCTCAAATTAAGCTATATGATATATAGGAACAGCAAGTGTAAAAAAATTTAGTTTTCGCTGGCTTTCTCTCAAATTATCTTAGGTAATTAATTTCACTAAAACATGGCTCTTTTTAATGATAGTTTACAATAGGATATTATTACTATATTAAGGAGTTATTTTCATTGTCAAACAAATAGAGGATGATTGGAAATGTTATTATCAGTAAATTGTCATTTTTTCTATTGATATAATTGGAGTATTCGGGATGTATTTTGATGTGGATAAACATTTATTTTTAATAGCTAATATTTGAATTTGCAGTTGAATAAAATTGCAATTTTAATTCCTGATTTAAAAAAGAGTGTTAAACTCCTTATATTAATCATATCTAATCAATCTATCAATGCTATAATAATCTTGGATTATCTCACAATTTTGATTTGTATTCATAATTAGATTTGGAAATGAAAAAGTAGAATACCTTTAATTTTTAGCAAAAGGTTAGGAGCCCTTTTTAACTATTCATAAGAAACTTGAATGTTACCACTATCTGTAGGATTCTATTTATATAAAATATCCTGAATAAGCAATTAAATTCTATTGATTTAAAAATACAATATTATTTAGAAATGAATTTTATTCTCAATAAATGATATTAATGTAAGTATGAATTTATAAATATATAAATAAATTCTTTATTCAATTTATGTCAAGATTTTGCTTTCTGATATTTACTTAATTATTGTAAACACTTTGCTATTAAAATTTCATAACTTCACACATTTTAAAAAATATTTTATTCCATAGGATTTAAATTGATTGCTTTATTGAAATTATCTATTGCTTCATTGTAGTTTCCCAGATATTGTAAGCATAATCCTAAACGCTAAGAGATAATAAATACCAATTTGCCAAAATTGCTCGAATTGCAGTGATTATTAATTGAGATAGCCTTATTAAATTATTTAATGGCCTCTCCATATGGTTTCATCTACAGTATTAACGCATAGCATTTATCATCATTTAGATACAAACCTAAGTTTAGAAAAAAATCATACCTTTATAACTACAATAATTTGATTTATTTGGATCATTCTACAAGGTAAACGTAAAGGCCTTAAGGGCTTCTTCGTAATTTTTAATTCTTATATTTAATTATCAAATATTCTACTATTTTTAAACATAACCCAAATATTGCATTTAGTGATTTACCTTTCAGAATATAATAATAAGAGTTTTAGGATTAAAACATCAAATTGACTTATTAGATTTCCAAAAATAGTCCTATAACAAGTCACTCATAATTAAATGAAAAATTTGAGAACTCTTATACATAAAAAATTAATCATTATGTGGATTACACTGTATTGCCCATCAGAGCATGTTTATTATTATTATTTGTCCTTTTAAGGAACTAGATATGAAAATAATCAATAATTAGTCAAATGTTTGTCAATTCTCAATATTTCTGGATATTTTATCATTTCTCCCTTGATTCTGACAGTTGCTTAGGCTGGACTTATTGTGAATCTTAAATCACTCCATTGTCAATTTTTGAGTCACATTAATTATTAATAACTGGTAACACCAAATATCACATGTTTGTCAAAAATAGTTTGTACTTTACAACATAAGTTGCTGATAAATGTGTGAATTATCAACCAAAAATAATGATCGGATCAGGAGTATCAAGAATGCTGATTAATATGAATACACTGTTAATTGTGTTAAAAACTGTTATGTTGACCAAAAACAACAGCTTACGATATTATGATGGTTCTCCATTTCGTCCGATATATATTATTGTCAATGGCTAATCTGAAGGAAACATTTACTTGTTACCTATTCATCATATATTGGATAGGATTACCTTTGATTCTTTCCTTAAGATTAAATTATATATGGGCTTCCTCTTTTCATCAATATCGACATTATAGCTCTACTACATGAATTTGTGACAACCAATTAAAAGCGGGTTTTGATTGGTTTCTAAATGACTTTTATATCAGTAGTACGCCGCTGTATAAGTGGATTTATTAGGACTTCTAATTATAATTCTTAGAGGGTTGATCAGCTACTCAATTCAGCACCATTACTGGTAGTAATCTTATGCTGCCATTCGATTACATCTGAAGATTGCCCTTTTACTTCTGCTAATTCAAGTCAAACTTAAAATTATAGTTGCTCTTTATCTAATTATAAGTTTGTCATTAGCTTCCACAATTTGCCCAACATTTGATTACAATTATGAAAATTTGCTGAATCGTTTGCAATTTGCTACAACTCTCATATAATGAACTGATTTGTGGTAATGCAATTTATTACAGTTTTATCAGTCTAGAAATGACTTGTAATTTCAGTTGAGCTTTAACTTCTGTTAAGTGTCGATTATCAATATAAATGTTCGGCTCCAATATTACTAAATCTAGAAGTATCAAGCTCACCTTCTGTATCTACGTTGCAAATTGGGTTGAAACCATTAAACAAGGGATGATTTTCCTCATTTCTGCTTATATATTCAATTTACTCTTATAATTATAAAATACTCGCTATAATGATTAGGCTAAATATCTTTTCAATCCATCCTCCTAGCGATGAACTGAACCTTGGCGGAATAAATATTTGTTTCCTTTGTGGATTTAAACTACATTGAGCATTTACTTTCTCTTTTTAAAACGAATCCCCAATATATTCTGACCACCCTATTTATTTTCATTAAATTCCACCCTCATTTTGGCCATCTCCTTCATTCAGTATTTTATATTTTGCTCACTCGTGTAGCTTTGAGAACTCGCAAGTTATCCTAAATGTCCACAAGCTCTTACTTGCATATCAAGGAGAAGCACTTTGATGTATATCACACTCAACTACAGACGCGATGTGTATTAGATCTCTCTCTTGTTACTTGTAATATTTGAAATTGTAATAAATAAGCAATTTTTGTGTTGAACTTATAATTGAAGGTCAGCGTCCATACTATCCATCTTGTTCCTCCTGTACTTATATGAATTCAATTATTACTACTAGCATTATATTCAATGTTTCAATTTTATTTGATGCAATGTAAGCTTTGTAAACTAGGAAATCAGAATTAAAATACATCAAGTAATTTTTTTAATTAAATTGTTTGTTACGAATGCTCTTTTGTTTACATCATCATTCAATTTCATAATGTGTGCATCCTAATCAAAGTAATTGCATTTTATACGTTTAATAACTGCACTTTATTATATTAGCTCACCTGTATATGGATGCAATTCTATTGCGATCATTAAGAGTATCTCTACAATTTTTTTTGTGATGAAGACAAACCCCGCATTAATCCTTAATGCTTTAAATTCTACTTGAAAGGTGTCCTTGAAACGCAACCATTTGTGTTGAAGGCAATTCTTGGAAACAGATATGGTTATAGTTCTCTTGTTGAATATCAATTATCCTCTCTTAACATATACAATAGTTGAATATAATTGTGAGTCCATTAAGATAAATCTGGTTAGTGCACATTTGTCCTGTAGATTACAGTTTCTAATCTAAATAACTTAAAAATCCCATCTTTTTATTTAATGTTAAGCTTTGTCCTTTGTAACAACAAAATTCCTCAAAATGGAGTGAAACAGTAATTCAGAGTTTTATTTTTCAATCACATAAATTGTTATAGATCCTTTGAAATTCAGAACTATGATTCTACTTAAAACACTAAGTTTCTGTATGTTCCACATAAGATAGCAACATATAATGTGCAAGCCCTAATGAACTTTGACAGGAAATATTTCAGGTTGAACAAAATGCTCTCATGTTGCTCAACTTGTTATTCTTGTGAAAAACATATCACAACAACTGTTTAATAAAGCTTTTGGAGCCTCAATGGAAAATATGCTGCCCAGTGCTACTTGTTTTTATCATCCCTCAGTTGAACAATTTGTATAGATAGTTAGGGCTCACTTTTCTAATTCCTTAGCAATTACAAAGATTTTGTGATAATTTCCTTGCAGTGCGAGAGGATTAGTAGATTTCTGTAAACAATATTAATATGGTGCAAGATAGGATTTTTAATCCTAAATATCCTGTTGTTGTTTACCCTTGTTGAGTTTATTTAGCTCCTAAATTTGTTTTATCATCATTAATTAACTTTTGGATTGTAGCTTCACAACTATTTTTATGTGTCAAGGTTTCCAATCAAACCTTTTTTGCAAATAGTGTTTTTAAACTGGAAGGATGATGTAAAAATTTTCGGTATCATTTGCAACAGCCACTCGTCTGCATGTTATATGTGTGAACTTCTTTTTGAAAGTCGAAAATAAGCTTTATGATAAACCTATAATAAAATAAAAATTTCTTAGAAATACATTATTTAGTATTGATAACGCCTTGTTAATAATATTTAAATCAATATCTAATATATTCCAAATTTAAATGATTCTTTATTATACACAATTAGAAGAAATTTGTTAATTAAAAATTAATGTAAAATTCAAAATCAAGAAACACTCTCTAAATTTCACGAATCCAAATTTAGAATGTTTTCATGTTAGTGGGCATTAATTCTCTAAGCTGGACGTCAAATATTACGGATTATACATGATCCAAACAATGTTATCAATTCTTGATGATAAGTTATTTATCTTAGTTTAGACTAAAATAATTAGAAGGAAACCATTAATATTATTAATAAAATACTGTGTAACTTAATTAACAATTTATTCTCACTACTTTACATTTAATTCTAAGTGCATTAGTATTTTAAGTGTTTTTCTAGAATCTGAAAGTGCATCAGTATTATGTGTTTTAGATTGAGAATTTGAATTAAACCTCCATAAATAAAATAAAAAATTACCTTAAAACCTATCCTTTTTTAGATAAAAAGATATTGCTTCATTGTTACAATTAATTGCTTCTAGATATTGATTTTATTAAATATAAATGAATTGGTAATGCACACATAATCAATCCTCATTAGCATCAATGCATTCATTTATTTTTTAAGATTGATTATTGTGTTTTATATTGCATTTATTTTTCAAATTTAACACTAAATTTAGAATTTAGCAAGCTTTCGTTTTGGAAACTCACAATTAAAGTCCCTTTAGCTTAGAAATTGGCATTTAAAGGAATTTGAAAAATTGAAATATTAGCGAAAAATAAATACCATCAAAATCAAAATTTGAAGGTTAAAATTATAATTTAAACGATTATTTGAAGCTAAGATTTCTTTTCCTGTCATAAATTTCAATAAACGGTAGAGATTCATATTAAGGAGGAGGGGGGCTTAGGGAAACATTTGTATTCTATCAGTAAAGGGTAGGAAATCCAACCATACTAATGTTGGGCAGGTTAGAATAACCATTTGCAAGCTGATCTTTGGTCTTCGGATGAAAATCTGTGATTTTTCAAGATTAGATAAATTTGTCATAATTGAACACTAAAGGTTTCTTCGTTACAATATTCACAACTTAATAAACCATATTANTGCAAGATAGGATTTTTAATCCTAAATATCCTGTTGTTGTTTACCCTTGTTGAGTTTATTTAGCTCCTAAATTTGTTTTATCATCATTAATTAACTTTTGGATTGTAGCTTCACAACTATTTTTATGTGTCAAGGTTTCCAATCAAACCTTTTTTGCAAATAGTGTTTTTAAACTGGAAGGATGATGTAAAAATTTTCGGTATCATTTGCAACAGCCACTCGTCTGCATGTTATATGTGTGAACTTCTTTTTGAAAGTCGAAAATAAGCTTTATGATAAACCTATAATAAAATAAAAATTTCTTAGAAATACATTATTTAGTATTGATAACGCCTTGTTAATAATATTTAAATCAATATCTAATATATTCCAAATTTAAATGATTCTTTATTATACACAATTAGAAGAAATTTGTTAATTAAAAATTAATGTAAAATTCAAAATCAAGAAACACTCTCTAAATTTCACGAATCCAAATTTAGAATGTTTTCATGTTAGTGGGCATTAATTCTCTAAGCTGGACGTCAAATATTACGGATTATACATGATCCAAACAATGTTATCAATTCTTGATGATAAGTTATTTATCTTAGTTTAGACTAAAATAATTAGAAGGAAACCATTAATATTATTAATAAAATACTGTGTAACTTAATTAACAATTTATTCTCACTACTTTACATTTAATTCTAAGTGCATTAGTATTTTAAGTGTTTTTCTAGAATCTGAAAGTGCATCAGTATTATGTGTTTTAGATTGAGAATTTGAATTAAACCTCCATAAATAAAATAAAAAATTACCTTAAAACCTATCCTTTTTTAGATAAAAAGATATTGCTTCATTGTTACAATTAATTGCTTCTAGATATTGATTTTATTAAATATAAATGAATTGGTAATGCACACATAATCAATCCTCATTAGCATCAATGCATTCATTTATTTTTTAAGATTGATTATTGTGTTTTATATTGCATTTATTTTTCAAATTTAACACTAAATTTAGAATTTAGCAAGCTTTCGTTTTGGAAACTCACAATTAAAGTCCCTTTAGCTTAGAAATTGGCATTTAAAGGAATTTGAAAAATTGAAATATTAGCGAAAAATAAATACCATCAAAATCAAAATTTGAAGGTTAAAATTATAATTTAAACGATTATTTGAAGCTAAGATTTCTTTTCCTGTCATAAATTTCAATAAACGGTAGAGATTCATATTAAGGAGGAGGGGGGCTTAGGGAAACATTTGTATTCTATCAGTAAAGGGTAGGAAATCCAACCATACTAATGTTGGGCAGGTTAGAATAACCATTTGCAAGCTGATCTTTGGTCTTCGGATGAAAATCTGTGATTTTTCAAGATTAGATAAATTTGTCATAATTGAACACTAAAGGTTTCTTCGTTACAATATTCACAACTTAATAAACCATATTACTATCAAAATCTAATTTTTATCAATAATAATTG